GCACTTAGAGTAATTACTGAGACGAGTGAGCTAGTTAAAGTTTTAGCTTTAGTGATTCATACTATATGTACAGCTTATAATTGTTTAATAAAGCATATATAACTAGCCTAACAAAGGGTTTAAAAAAAAAAAAAAAAGTAATATAGAAAAGAAAGTTCTAGAAAAAGTATCCCTTTTAACTATATATATTTAATCTTCAAAAAACAATTATGATATCAAAAGGCAAGCAATAGATAGGCAAATCAATCCAATTTTTATATCTCATTAAGTTCTTTAAGTGATAAAAAGACTTTATTGGACAAGAGCCGAGATCTTTAAGTTTCTATCCTAATTAGATAAAGTTCTTGAAAAAATTTTTTTATCTTGATTAAGTAAATTCTTCTATAATATAGTACTAACTCCAGTAGTGATAAGTAAATTCATATATCAGCAGAAGGATAAGTTCCTTAAATATTTTTCTTGAAGTTATTTTTAAAAATGATTAAGTTTCTCAAATGTCATGAAGCTTAAAGAATATTCTAATTAGACAAATATCTTTTGAGAAGAAATTGTAAAATGAAACAAGAATCCTTTGGAGAGCTTTGAATTATATTTTTTTTTTTCCCTTTTTCCATTATTATACTTTAGCAATTAATCATTTTTGAAAATAATCAACAATAACAAACTATTAACAATAAGCCTGGTTGACTTAGAGGTATTATGTCAAATTACTAGAAGAGCATAATATTAATCCCTAAATTTGACTTAGAGTACCTAGTTTAGATTTAGTTTTATTTAGTTAATATGCAAAATAATATAAAAATTATAAATATTACATAAATACTATACAATAAAAATTATAAACTAAATACTGTAAGTAAAAAATTAAATACAATACTATTTTTTTAATATAGAAGTGTATTAACGATATTGACTATATATTAGAATACATCTACGTCAAATAATGGCCATAGAAAAAAAAACTGCATTATAAAAAGTGAAACTTAACTTGATGTAACATGTAAAAGTTTTATCACATAATTTAAAAAGAATTTATTCGGAAATACGGAAATGGGAAGCAACGATTAGTTACGTCAGCAATATGGGCTAAAATATGGTGATTCATATTGTTGTGTGATATTCGACTGGAAAAAAAAAAAATCTACATACAACGTACTGTACGTATTATTAATTGTTCTTCAGAGTATTTTTCCTTTAAAACATCGTTTTCGAAATTTACTTAAGTGATGGATCTTCCAAATGGGTATGTTCTTATAAAAAGCGATTGCGATTTTTTGGAAACACTAATCTTTGGATCTTAATAAAAAGAACGAGTTCAATTTTCCGTTGACAAAATAAATCGAATTTTCTTAGTCAACCTAAACATCTTGGTATTACACAACCCATTGCCTTGAACTATCCAACACCAAGAGAGATTGAAGTTTCCGATTTGCTGGTTCAAGAACTTAGTGCCCAAGGGACTTTTGAGAGCGAAGAAGAAAGTAAGCGACGGTAAGATTGATAAATCACAATAACTTTATAAACTTTTAGGTATTCTAATCATTTATCGCAATGTAGAGAAGTTGTTTTAGGAAAGCTTGATAAACTAGTAAAAGAAGTTGTGTATCGGATAAGTAGAGAGAAGGAAAAACTGCCTGAACCTGATGCCAGAGAAGCCGGAGGAAAGATTTTTACTTTTGGATCTTATAGACTTGGTGTTCACGGCGCTGGTATGCCCTTCTAAAAAAGAAAATCATAAAGAATAACATATTCCATTAGAAAATTCCAACAATATAAATATTTGTAGGCGCGGATATTGATACATTATGTGTAGTTCCAAGACATGTATCTCGAGAAAATTTCTTTTTAGTAATGCATGAAACTCTTTCGAAGCTTAGTGACGTTAACGAATTAACCGTAAGCATAATTAAAATTCGTTAATCCTTCAATTAAGTTAAATCATATTAAAAAATTTATTTATTATTTTTTTTTTTAGAGCGTCACTGACGCTTATGTTCCAGTTATCAAGATGAAATTTCAAGGCATTCCAGTCAGTTTGTTATTCTTTAGTCGTATTCACTACTGATTTCTGGGAGGTTTTTGATTTATATTTATTATCGTCTTAATTAAATAGATTGATCTTGTATTTGCAAAGTTGAATTTGTCACAAGTACCTGACGACTTAGAACTAAGAGAAAATTCGCTATTAAAAAATCTAGACGAGACATGTATAAGGAGTATAAATGGTAAGTATGACCTATTTATATTTAAGACGGGATTTCTTATTAATTCACTTATTACGATTTTTAAGGATCACGTGTAACGGATGAAATTTTACGTCTTGTACCCAGTATACCTGCTTTTCGTACATCATTAAGATGTATTAAGCTTTGGGCAAAAAGTCAGTCGTATTTGGAATTGCATTCAACAACTTTAGTTAGCTATTTACTAAACCCAGAATTTTGTAGGACGTGCGATATATTCTAATGTGATGGGCTTTTTAGGGGGGGTTGCATGGGCAATGTTAGTGGCCCGGATCTGTCAGTTATATCCGAACGCGATAGCGGGGGCAATCGTCTCTAAATTTTTCCGGATAATGTATAAATGGTTAGTTGAAAGCAAGATACATTTGCTTTTGTGTATTAGATATTCACAGCTTATACTATTTCAAAAAGGGAGTGGCCACAACCCGTTCTACTAAAACCCATCGAAGACGGTCCACTTCAAGTTAGAGTATGGAATCCAAAGGTATATTTTTGTGAATATATACTGTATATATATATATATATATAGATATATTTATATTTAATTGCAGAAAATTCAAATATCATTTTGACAACTTGGCTCTACTTAATGTAATATTACGGTTTTCAAAACAGGTATATCACGGTGACCGGTTCCACTTAATGCCTATTATTACGCCGGCGTACCCTTCAATGTGTGCAACGCATAATGTAACGCAATCTACTAAAAAAATAATAGAAGAGGAATTAAAAAGAGGTAATATTTTTAATATATTGTCACATCTTTTAATAATATTTAATCCATCCACCTACATTCTACTAAATTACATTCTAGCGGCCGATATTGCGGATAAAGTAATAGTTGGAAATGGAAAATGGTCAGATCTTTTTGAAAAGCATGACTTCTTTCAGAGATATCGATATTATTTGCAAATAATAGCATCATCAGATTCACCGGATAGACAGCTCAAATGGTTTGCGTAAATTTGATGGAACTCGTTTTTATTTTAATTCCTTTAATAATATTATCATTGTTTTTGTTAGGTCGGGTATGGTTGAATCAAGGATTCGTCACCTCATATCAAAATTGGAAAATGTGGAAAATCTAAGCTTGGCACATCCTTTTGTGAAGGGTTTTGACAGAGTTCAGCATTGTGCAACAGAGAAAGAGGCAGAAGATGTACAACATGGAATATTTGATTACAATAAGTCACAAAATGATAAGAGTGGCAGCGAGTCATCACAAAATTTTGCTGAAACTAATATTTTTCGAACTGTCTATGTTACGACATTCTATATTGGATTGTCAATAGACCCACGAGAAGGTCTAATAATATTTAATATTTCTTAAAATGGTCGAGTCGTTCTATATCTTATTGTGATTTTTATCGCTTCCATGATAGTCGGCTCAACGTCGCCTCGACAGTTAAACATTTCGTGGCCTACCCAAGAATTCATAAAGTTGGTAAAAAGTTGGGATAAATTTGACGAAAAATCCATGGGAATTGCAATAAGATATGTGAAAAGGTACGATTAAAGTATTATTTTGACTCCTGTCAATCACCTTTTACCTTCTACAGCTACTATTCTTTGGTATTCAGGGGTGATCTACCGCAAGAAGTCTTTGAAGGTGAACAACGTCAAACGAAACTCAAACGATCAAAACCAAGCAGTAAGGTTGTTAATTTTGTATTATACAATGATTCTTTTTACCTAAGATTGCTTGTTAATAAGTTTTGAAAATTCAGACAGAACAAAATAATAATAAGACGCTAGAACAGCCTAGTAAGAAACATAAAAAAACCGATAATACCGATAGTACCTCGGAACAATTAACGGCTAACCGATCAGACACAAATGTTTCCAAATTGGAATCAAACAAAGGTAGCAAACTCTGTCCCCCTGCACCACACGACACGTCTTCACCACTTTTACACACGAGACCAGATATTGGCGTCCAAACAACCGGTAAATAGCGCTCCCGAAGATATAATGTGGATAACTTATAATGGTGAGGTGGTTTCCCAAGACCTCTGTGGGAAATCGAATTTTGTTTGCGGTAAACGTGCAACAAATGAAATGGTCTTGATGCCGCATAAAAAAAAAAATATTAAATATATATTCCGTAGAAAGATTACACGCCACTACAAAAAAAAAATTCACTAAAAAGAAAAAAAAAAAAAAAAGGAAAAAAAAAGGAAAAAAAAAAGAAAAAAAAAGAAAAGACGAAAAAATACTCGCAAATGTTATTAATCATCATATCCATAGACGAGATTAGGAATAGCGAGAACTTGCAAAGTTCAATCTTTACAACATGCGTCGAAATAATTATCGTGTGAACCCTGATGTCGATATTTTAGGAACTGATGTGCACCTACCATTGATTTCATGAGGCTTCGCTGTCATGTGTGTGCAATTTAGAAGGTAAGGTACTAGATGTATATGGTTAGGTTTTCTTTTGATTTAAAATACTTGCTGCTAAAAAGAATAATTCAGAAAAAACTTGACCAGATCAAAAGGCGAAATATCATTCAAATTGAAAGGGTTATTCTATTTTTTTTTTTTTTTCGCCTTTTAATGCTTTATTTCCTTCAAGGCTTGGGAAAGATTGAATATTTATATTTATCATTTCTCCTTTTCATTTTACGCCTGTTTGCTATAATTTAGTCTTGTTTTTTCTATTTTTTATCCCATAATTAGATTTGTTTTTTATTAACTTGATAATATAAACTTTGGCGCAGGATTTGCTAGTTTTCGCTTAGATGTAATAAGAATATATAATTCGATTTTTTGCTAACCCGACACGTGATCGATGATTAATAAAATGAATTATACAAAATTAATAATTGCCGTCCGTGCCCTAATTATACGCAAACCAATATTATTGATTAAAAATCAAATAAACAATAATGATAGTTTAATTATAAATACTTGAATATCTAAAAATCGATTTATTATTTTATTATCAATGATAAGAAAATTTTTAAATGAAAAAGATTTGATTATAAAAAATATATAAAAGCCCATTTATCTTTAAAGTAAGCTATTATAGAGATTTATTATAATAAGAGAGCTTTATTTTTTTCTTTTATCTACTGTTTTAATTATTTTAAAACTTTCTTTTTTTTTATAGTTTTTGAGAATTTTATTTGTATCAATTTGATTCTAAATTTTCAGATATATAATCTTTATTAAATATATTGATTTTATAAATATAAATAAATTTTTATTAATTATACTTATATATTCTAAAATCATTATTGAGAATATAAAAGAAAATCATAACTATTAAATAAAAAAAAAACTCTTTTTACTAATCCTTTAATCACATACAAAAAAGATATTTGCAAGAAGTTTTTACACTTCTTTGTTAATAAAGTCTTAATACTTTCTTTAAAACAACTTAAAGTATAACTTCAAGAATCACATCTATCCTTTTCCTTTTGTTTACAAACTTTTTTACTCAAAAACTTGACTTTTAATAATCAAGAAAAGTCAAGTAACACCTTTGATATCAATAGCAAGAAAGTTTCTAAAGAAAAAAGAATTGATTATGAAGTATCTAAAAGTCTATCTAATCTTTGAAACAAGAGATTTATAAAGATTTTCTGTAATAAAAGGCTTATTTTCTCTCTTTTTAACTGTTTTAATTCTCTTAAAGCTTTTATTTTCATGATTTTCTGAGAAATTTTATCTATCTCAGTTTCATTCTAAATTTTGGATAGCACAAATCCTTATTAAAGATGATTGGTTAATATAAAACACATTAGTTTTTAAAATATAAACAAACTCTTATTGATCACAATTACATATTCTGATAATATTATTGACAATTGAAAAGAAGATTCTGAAAATGTTTATTCCCAAAAGCTCAAGTCCTTTAATGAAAATTTTCATAACATCAAAAGATCAAGTGATATGTAATATGGATTGCAAACTTCTATCTTTTACCTAAGTTCCTCAAATGATAATAAAGCTTTAATAAAAAAAAGCTAAGATCTAAATGCTTTTCTTGAAATATTCCAATTCTATACTTACTTAAATGAAAAATCAGTTGAATTGATTCATCTAATGTCACAAGTAAAGATGGGTCCCTAAAGGGGAAAGCAAGAACAAAATTCAAATGTTCTTCACTAGAAAAAATTAAAATTTTTAAATTAATAACCATAAAAAAACTACCTATAATTGTTCTTCATTATCTAAATCATTGATTTATAGTATTTCCCGACTTTTGTTCCCATTAAAGTGAAGAGCTATGAATTTTGTTCCTTAAAAAGAGACATAAGTGATCTGCAAAATTTTATATGCTAAATACTTTAGGGACCTATTATTAATCACAGGTAATAAAAAAGAAGATTTTTTTTGAAGTTCAAGTAAAGCAAAAAAACTATTTCAATTAGACAGATCCCTTTTGAAAAAAAGTTGTTTTTATTTTTAGACTTTTTTGATAGGTCTTGAATTGTCCTCTTCCCTCAATTATTTTCCTCTTTCCCCTTTTTAACTTTGAATTTATTAGTTTTTGTGCAATCAATAGTGACAAACTATTGACAATAATTTTGACAGATAAAGATTATTATCAATCTATTAGGAAAGTGTAATATTGTCTCCAAAATCTGATTTAGAGTATTTATATATAAAGATAAGTTAATTACTTTGTGAAAATCTATAAATTAGTATAGATTTATTTTAATTTTTCAATAAAGACAAACCATTGTGACATAATTGCAGGTTAATAATAATAATAATAATAATAAGAAAATCCAATAATATTTTTTTAATTATATATAATATATTCTAATAGTTTTTAAATAATAGTATTAATAATTAAAAAAGCTTTTATCTAAACCATTAATAAAATAACAAATTACTTCTAAATTTATAATTAAAATTATTTAAATTAAAACAAATAAATTGATTAAAAATTTAATTTTAGTAATATACTGTATAAATTTATATATACAGTAGTACTAGTCATAATAATAAAAATTAAAGATGATCTATAGATCAATAGTACAGTAGTTAATATTCCATAGGTCTGATCATAAGATATAAATTCAAATTCTTTAGGAAATACAGTAATACCTAAAGCTAATAAAAATCTACATCTATTGATCTAATTATATTTAACTGATGTTTTTAAATATAACTATTTATTATAAGATATTTGAAAGAAAATATCTATTAATAAATAGTATAGTTTATATAAGAATTGCAATTAACCATAATATCTGAAATTGGCTAAGATTATCCTAATATTATTCAGTTATACTAGACAATATACAAAAGTAACAACACAAAAGTAGATCCTTAAACTAGTAGGATGCTACTAATAAACAAGTATTGATCTTTATGCCACTTATAGACTTAACTATTGGAAGATCTTAATAGAAGAAAAAATTTATGAACTACTCTGAAGAATCAAAATATTAGATTCAGAATACTGTATTTAATGACCTGATAATCTATCTATTCTAGTATTGTGATAAAAATAGCCTCTAATATTATTGGATAGTTATTTTTAGTTATGATCTTTATTATATTTCCTTTTTTATCTATTTACAGTATTTATAATTATTTCTTTAATATTCTTGGATATTTTTATTGATACTTAATTAACATAAATTATTTTATCAAATATAGTATATAACATAATTTATCATAGATTAGATAGCCCAGGAGATCTAAGTAACTCATTTTTACAAGTATATAAATAATTATAATTTGTTCTAAAGTAGGATATATTTGAGTATAACTATATTTGACTTTGAAAGTTTAAATATAACTTTATTTGATTTCTTTAAAATTAAATATCTTCTCTTGATTTTAGGACTAAAGGAATTGTTCTTGATTAATTAATAAACTTGGATTTTAAGCAAATTATATTTTTTGTGAAATACTGTGTGATACTGTTTGAAAGATTCTTAATAAATCTATTCTTAAATATTTCTTTATTATTATAAACCACTTCTTTAATTCTTTCTTTAGAAATTGTTCTTTTAAAAGCAATTCCACTTGGATATACTAATCAAATATAAATTTAATTATATTTTGATGACAATAATAGAACCTTGCTCTCCAAAAAAGATATTAGGCATAGAATTAATTTTTCTTGAAAGAATATTTAAATAAATAACAAATTTAATAACTAGATTTCAAAACTATTATTGAATTTTGCAACTACTTATTCTAAATACTTTTTTGATACTCTATCCACTTCTTATTCAATTCACTTTTTGGATACTTCTTAGTATAATCAATATAGTGCAATCTATTCTTATTCACTACCTTATAATTGATCAATAAATAATATTTTTCAAGATCCTTGAAATTAAGCAAGCCATTCTTATAATTTGAATTAACCTTGAAATAGGTATCCCTCACAAGATCAGGATAATGATAAGGAAAGCAATGGATAGGAGAAGTACAATGACAACAATTAGAACAATAGGTAAAATAAATAACAACTACTATTACATAGGAATAGACCAGATCAAAGACAAAGGAATAAGCAAAAAGAAAAACAATAAAACCAACCTATCTATAATTATAGGCAAAATAATATCAAAATTTTATTAATGTACTGTGACAACTTTTTGTAATTAATTGTGGAAATGAATACATCAAGGAACAACAATAAAAAAAAAAACAAAATTGATAGACATATCAATCTTCAAAAGAGAGAAATAAGATTCTTTTTTTTTTTTTTTTTTTTTTTAACCACAACTGGTATTAGATGCAAGCTGTTTATTGATAATTAAATCTTAAGCATTACATCAATCATCTTATATATATACATGCAAATTAATTATAACCTATCGCAACTTGTCTTAGGCAGACCTGCTTGAAACCCCCTGTAGGTGAACACACCTGACTAGGGGCCGGATGGTTAATAACAGTCATCAACGGTGATATTGTTATAGTTAGCTAATTTTGTTAATAAGGGACTATACTACTATGCTAACTTATACACTAGTGT